GCGTCCGGAGCCTGTGCTCCGCAACGGGAGAGGCCACAACAGTGAGAGGCCCGCGTACCGCAAAAAAGAAAAAGACTATTACGTGTCTTATGTTAAAGTGCCCTATACTCTAATCAGACCACACATTTTAGCATTTTAATGTTCTAGAAGAAAATGGTATTAAAGGTAATATTTCTAGAAGAAAAATGGTATTAAACATAATATTAACATGCTCAGTTTTCATTCACTATATATTTATTCCAAGAATAATCCTTGAGTGTTTATTAAGGTCTAGCCTCCTCCCTAAGTGTCAAGAGTATGAACGCCAATGCAATGTGAGTCCGGACCTCCAGGGTCTTAGAGTTGTGGTTGAATGACTTTGTAAGAGCACATTGCACAATTCTAACCAGCTGTAATCCTGTTTCTGGAGACCGTACATTTCTTAACTAGCTCACAGCAATTCCCACTTTGCCAGGCACATGGAGGGTGCACGGAGAATTCTGGCCAATTGGGAATAATGCTCCACCGCTAGGTTAATTCAGTGGCCATGCGGGAAGGAGGAAGGGGGAGATCACCCTGTTGTCTGGAACATAACCACCAGAAGAACTTTCTTTCTTTTTTTTTGGTATGTATTTGGGTATGAAATTGTGAGCCAAAGAACAGAATGATGAATTTCATCTGCTCTAGCCAGGCTCTCCCTGAATGAAGCATCATCCCTCACAACCCTCTTGCTGCTTCCCTAGGGATTTTCCTGGCTAATGTGTTGGAGTGTAACATAATTTTGCAGCTTTCCCAGCTCTTCCATCTCAGTATATATTCATATATATGTATATCGGCATATATATACATACATATATATCCATGAACACTAGCTGGAATAAGACAAAAAGGAATCCTACAATTTTTAAAGGAAAAATGACAGCTCGTGTTTACCTTTGTCCTCAGGAACACAAGTCTGGGTGAAGTGAATTTGCTTTCAGTCTGGAAGCAGGGAAATCAGTGCCTGGTGGGTTGCCCCATGCGGTGGCCCTCTGACGAGGGAGACGCAGGGACAAGCCATCTTCTTGACGCCCTTGGCTGCGGGGGGAGAGGTGCCAGGCCCAGGAGAATCCCTAGACCCAGCTGTAGGTGGCACATCATAGGACTGGTTTTGGCCAGAGTTTCATAGTCTTGGTAGTGGCGTCTCCAGGGGAAGCCAGGCTCGTGCTGTGACAATCCAGGAGGGCTCATCCCATACCTCACCTTGCACTTTGCTTCTACACTGAACCATGAGCTTCCTGGAGTGGGACACCCCTCTTCAGGAGAATATCTGCCAGAAAGCAAGGCAACAGGTCTTCTCCAGAAAGTAAAAGAAACTATAAAGCCCAAGGAGACGATATTCTCTGAAACAGCGGAGAAGACAGCTGGTCCACAGCAGCCTTTCTTTTCTGTACTGGCTGCCGGAGCTGGTGCCGTAGACGGTGACACATAAAGATAAGTTTTCCTATCAAACTTTTCAAAAGTTTTTCACCAGTGTCCCTCCACCACAAAGGTGGCTAGAAGCATTTCAGAAAAAGGCAATCTCAGTAAGATTTTTGAAACAGAAGCGAAGCCAGGTACCCACACAGGGTAAGGAACTTACAGGTGGATACCTGCATTTGAATCCCAGTTTTGCTACCAAGCAACAAGCTGCTTTATATCTGAGAGCCTCACTGTCTTCGTCTATGGAATGGAAGTGACAATAATCCTACAGCCTTGCTCTGAGACAATGCCCTTGCTTGTGACTATTAAAAAGTTAATAAAAGTGCTGGTCACCAATTTGAATATTGTCTTTTCCACTCCAGCCTCCTTTTCTCCCAACTCTGCCCTCCCGCCAGAGGCTCATGTGATTCTGAGGGTGACCTTCAATCAGAGAAGGGCACTGGGGCTTTAGGTTACCGAGCACAGTCAAGACAAGTTGTTTTTGAGGTTTCAGTTTCTAAAATTTGGTAGAAAGAGACTCACCTTGGGGCCAATACAGTAGCCTCATTTTTGGTTTCCTTTTTGGTAAGCTCTTTGAGGGCGTAGGTAGCGTTTATCTTATTTACTGTTCCATTCCCAGCACACCCCCAGTGCAGACTGATACTCAATAAATGATGGTTGATTAATATATGTATTTTGGGGGGAACCTCAAAGAGAGTGAAAGCATGACTTCTTGTACCAATAAGCTTGTTACTGAATCCACTTTATGTAAGACCCATGTTTCTTCAAGCTTTCTTTTTTTTTTTTAAATTAAAGTATAGTTGACTTACAATGTCTTGTTAGTTTCAGGTGTATAGCAAAGTGATTCAGTTATACCTATAAGGCTCTCTTTCTATAGTCAATATTTTCTCAACAAGAGTTTATTTTTACTTAGTTGAAGTTTCCACCCTACCCCTTCGTTTAAGTGAAGCTATTGAAAAAAACACACAAAACAAAACAAAACACAAAGCAATGACAAAGCCCTAAGTGGGAAGGGTGTAACTAAGAATGCAGGTCCCGTTACTTGTTCTGGATTCAAGTCCTGACTCGACTAGTAAGTAGCTGGGTGACTTTGGGCAGGTTGATTCACTGCTCTGAGCTTTGGTTCCCTCCTCTACAAAATGAAAATAACAAAAAAAGGAAAGAATATAAATAATATAAAATGGTACCAACCATCTGGAGGGCAGTTAAGGATCACAGTGTGAAAGTTACTGTCAAGCTCTCCAAACAGTGTATGGTGTGTGGCTAATGCTCTCCAAACTGTTACTGTGAGCGCATCTCCTGAACATAGAAGACAAGCCACCTCAGTCCCCACGTGGTGGGAAGACGATGGGCCTTTGTCAGGCATGGAACCCTGGATCAGGACCTGCCAGGCTGCCTGCTTCTGATGGGCACAGGGCACGTGGTAGGTACTGCTTGTCGCAGTGATGTCCTTGGAGATCTTCAAAGTCAGCATGTCTGAATTGGAGCCCACAATCTTTCAGAGTCCCTATCTTGGTCAGTGACGTCATCGTCCTGTGGGTCACCCATGTCAGAAGCCCGCGACCCTTCCTGGCCTCCTCCCTCATGCTCTGAGCCACGTCATCATCAAGTTCTGTCGAATCGCCCTTCTTACAACGTCTAGAATCCAGCACCAGCTCTTAAGTCCATCTGCCTGGAAGGCTTCATAATCCGTCATGTTTCTGGCTAGTCCATCTCCAGAACTATGATCGGGTACCGTTAGAAAGCCAATCGTTCCCACACACAGCCATTCTAACAGACCGATATGATAATGCCCCACCCTTGCTCCAAATCCTTCCTTGACCCCTACCAGGTCCAAGAAAAAAGGTCACGTCCCTTATCCCAGTGTGTGAGCCTCCTGTGCTCACAAACCTGCCAGACTTTCTCCTACCACACCCTCCTCCCGTCCTTTGTTCCAGCCACCAGAGGACACCACTGTGCTTGTCACTGACTGGGCACAGTCCTCTGCCTAGAACGCCCTCTTTGGTCTTCCTAATAAAGTCCCCTTCCTTTACGAAAGATCGTTTGACTGTCACCTGCCCTGAGACCCTGACCCCCTCTCTCTCACCTTTGGTGTTGAGGAATACCTCCCTGTGCTCCCATAGCTCCCTGAGCTGCAGCCCTTATCACACAGCATGGTTATTGTGGATGGACTTTCAGCCTCCCCGGTTACACTGTGAATTACACAGTAATTGCCAGGATGAGGCATTGTTCATCTGGAGCCATGGCACCCGGGACAGGGCTTCGAACAAAGCAAATAATCATAAAATGCTTAATAAATGAATGAAAATGATTACTGAATTAATCAATTGCAAAGGTAAGGTTCTTTCCTCACAAAAAAAATCAATATGAAGCAACTAGAGGACACATAGGAAACAGTCTGCCCATAGGATGCTATTAACCTAGGGAGCCCCGGGGGTGGCTCCCTTACCCCCTACAGGTCCTGGCACAAATGTCACCTTCTTAGTGAGGTGGCCACTGACCACTGAATTTAAACCCCCCTCACCCTGCCCCCACCATTCCCTTTCCTGCTGTGCTTTTCTCTAAAACCCTATCATCTTGGAACATAGTATGTATTGAGTCTTTGTTTTGTTTCTTTTTTTTTACTAGGCTGTAAGCCTTTCAGAGGCAGGGATTTTGCTTACTTTGCCTTAGAACAGTGTCTGACATACCGTAGGTGCTCAGTGCATGTTATATTGAAAATGAATGAACGAATGTCAGTCATTCACTACTTGTGCTGTGACTGACAGGTTTGTTAGAAAAGGGAGTGATCACTTTAGCCTGAGTCTGATGACTCCTTTGAAGGTCAAGGTCCATTAAGCTGATTTTAATAGATTCCATTTATCAAAAAAGAATATCCTTCTTGATGATCTTATCTACTCATTATTAGTTTCAGAATAAACTGATGGAATGGTCAAATGCTATTAATATAAAATTAAAGCATTAAACTAGCAATAATAACGAAGAGAATCAATAACATAGCTAACACTTGTACAGCTTTTACTATGCGCTAGGCTCTGTCTCAAGCATACGACATATATTAGCTCACTTAATCGTCGCATTAACCCTGTGAGTCAGTATTATTATTTTCCCCCTTTAACAAATCTGAACACTGAGGTGCAGAGAGGTTAAGGAATTCACTCGAGGTTACAGAGCTGCAGTGTGGAGAATCCAGGGGTCATGGTAGAGCAGAGGAAATACAACAGGCAGGGCAAAGGGCTTGGGTTCAAGTTCTGCCTCTTAGTAACTGAGTCACATAAGCAAGTAACTTCATCTTCTAAACTCCAGTAACCTCAGCTGTAAGACGAGGAGGATAGGATCGTACACATTCACACAGTTGTTGAGAGGCTGACAATCATTGTATATGAAAGCGCTATCAAAACATGAGCTGCTGGGCTTCCCTGGTGGCGCAGCAGTTGAGAGTCCGCCTGCCGAGGCAGGGGACACGGGTTCGTGCCCCGATCCGGGAAGATCCCACATGCCGCGGAGCGACTGGGCCCGTGAGCCATGGCCGCTGAGCCTGCGCGTCCGGAGCCTGTGCTCCACAACGGGAGAGGCCACAACAGTGAGAGGCCCGCAAAAACATAAGCTACTGTTACTCACTGGGTAGCATTACAACAGTAATGTTTTCATCCCATTCAAGGTTAGGACACTATTATATTGTAATTCTTACATGATTGCCTCCATCTCATTCCAGGAAACAAACGTTGTTCTCATTGACCATTAATTCATACATTCTGGCCATGAGTTGTTTTCACTTGTCCCTCGTGTCCCAGAGCAGCCTCCATGCTAAGCTGAGGTTAAAATCTTCTTCTGGGAGGTAGAGGTGGTCTTCTCAGATGGCAGCCAGGACAAATGTTACAAGGTCTCTTCATTTTAACAGCAAGGGAGCCTGGTTAGTTGGCTTCAAAGGTGTGAATTCAAAGACCTCTGCCACGTGTTGAAGATCTTCTTCCTGTGTTAAAACAAGTTCCGCCTCGGGGTCTTTCCGCCTGTCTGTCCCTCTATTGGGAACGTTCTCCCCTTCTCTCTATGAAACAGTTAAATCTAACGGCTCATGCTGCTTCCTCAGAGAAGCGTTCCCAGGCCTCCAGGACAGAGCAGGTACCCATGCTCGCTGCCATCCCAAGCATCTCCAGGGGCACTGCCACAGCCCCAAAGCAGGCATCATTTGCATAAATAGTAAATGTCTGTCTTCTCCACTAGAATATAATTTGGATGAGGTTAGGGACCACCTCTGTCTTTTTCAACACTGGAACCCAGTGTCCGTTGTAACTATGACACCTTGCCAGTAAAAGGTGCTCGTTAAAATATTTTGAATGAAAGAAAGCACCCCTTGACCACTTTGGGGAAGCCCCAGGCTCTCTGAGCCTTGGTTTCCACGTCCGTCAAAGAATCTCCCTGGCCATCACATGATTGCTGTGCATATTACAGCGAAAAACTCTTTAGACACAAAAATATGAACATGCACCCAGGGACTGAGGTGCCACAGTTTCTATGCAAAGCATTTTAGGAGGTGAAAAATGCATTCCAAGGTTGAAACAAATAGACCTGCACATCAGGCATTGAGTTATTTGGAGCAAAAGCAACCAGGAGGGAAAAAAGGACATATGTTGATTTGGAGGGCAGAAGGAATTCCAAGCTCTGCAGTATCTTTGGAATTCTTGGAGCCCTTTCAGTGCGCATCAGGTTACACTGGAGATATATTTGGATTTTGCCATCCACTAAGTGCTGTTTCACATGGGCCACGGAGATGAATTCTAACTTACCGTAAATAGAATGAGGAGAGCTTTGTTGCTAAATTATTTATTGCGCATTACATCTGGCCCTGAGCAATGATGTTTTTAGGTTCCACAAAGGTAGCTGTGTATAGTCTATTGTCATTACATAAAGGAAACTCTGACGGTTTAGATTATAAGATATAAATTTTCTGTTCATCAACCGGTGAAGAGCACACAGGGTTACTCTATTGTGTTCGTGCAGGAGACTAGAAATGGATTTCTCCATCTTCTCCCAAACACTCTGTTCACATTTGCCATAAAGATCCACTAATCAGGTTTTGTTTTCCATCCTGTAGAATGAAAAGCAGAATTTCCTCTCCTCTGTCTGATGGATCCTGTATGGCTTCCCGGTGCCTGTGGAGAGAAAGCCAGGCTTAGAAGAATCTTCTAAACACAATACAGAATAAACCCCTTACAAAGCTTCACATTACAAAGGACAGATTGAGAAAGCCCTTCACATTCCTCCCTCTAATTGCAACAGGTTTGAGGTTGAGGGAGATTTCTTAATAGGGCAACACCTCATATGCCTCTTTCTTTATAGATGCAGGTGTTTTTCTTTCTGGAGAGGTACCTTTCATGCCCCAATATTCCTTCCTCTTCTTGCTTCTACTTCCTTCAATCTTTTCCTATTATCAGTTGATGATGGGTCATTCATTTAAAAAACATGTATTAATCCCTACCATGGGTTAAACTAACTGTGTGTTCAGATAACCCACTGGCCTTCCTCCAGCTCAGCCTGGACACCTTGAACACCCTTCTCCTGAAAGCCCTCCCTCCAGTGCCCTCGTCCTTCAGATCTTAGCTAAGATTTTACTGACTTGGGGACTCTTTCCAGATCTTCAAGCTGGATTCCATCTCACTGGTGTCCCCATGTCCATTGTATGCACGCTAGGCTCTCATTTTCCTCTGCCCAACTCCTCCCAGAACTTCCTATGCTTTGGATACATCCAGTGATATGTGAGTAAAGTCTGTTCCCCACACGTAGCTACAAGCTCCCTGTGAGCGAGTTCTAGGTATGTTCTCTTCATTATTGTATGTAGTTCATCATCATATTGATCACGATCAATATGTATTTGTTGAATGACTGACCTGCTTACAAATAATCACAAAATTGACAGTGGCTTCCACGGTCAAAGTTATTTCTCACTCACCATGGAGTCATGCAACCCTTTTCAGCAGCCCTTCTTGGAGTGGCTGTCCTCCAGGGGCCCTCTCTGGGGGCTGGGCTGTGTCCATCTTGAGACTCTGCCATCTTCTGGCCTCAGCTGGCTGGCAGAGGGAGAGCAGAGCATGTCGAGAAGACACCTCTGTCTGCAACGGTCGCATGTCATTCTCATCCACTGTCCTTTGGCCAGAATCAGTCACACAACTCGCCAAGTGCAAGGGCAGCTGGGGAATGGAGGGGGGCCCCCTTGTTATTAGTCGGTGCTGCCAGTCTCTGCCAGAGGCACTTAAAAGGGTGAGAAAGATTCTGATAGGCAAAGACATCGAGGGCTAAGCAAATAGCATGAGCAAGGGCTCAGGGAGGGAAAAAATGAAATAATAATTTTAAAAACCCTAATGATTTGAGAGGAACTTATAAAGGCATCTAGTACCTCAAGGACAATAGGCTGGAGAAAGGAATAAACAGGTCATCGAGTGGACAGATAAATGGATGCACGGACTTGCACCTAAGGCTGAGGAGCTCAGACATTATTCTGTAGAGAGATGCAAAGTTAATTTGGACCCTGGTCCTCTCAGCGTCCTGTACCCCTCCCCGCACACCATCATGAAGCAGCCACCATAGGAACTGCAGAAAGGCAAGAGCCCTGAGCGAAGGGATGAGAGGCCAGATGCCCTCTGAGACCCTGTCCCTCCAGAGACGCTCTTTGGAAGCCTCTTCATTTTGCTTTCACTCATTTGTGAGTTAGCCTCTCATGTAATTAATCTGCTGCCTCCAGCCTGACATGGGGACAGATAAGTGAGGGGAAACACGGGTGCGCTCCACTCGCAGAGAATGGCTGCTGAAAACATGTACACGGGCTAACAGGATGGAATTTAAATTCTGAGAACAAGTTACAGCTCATCTGGACCCCTGCTCATGGAAATAATGAGGTCACTGAAATCCTGGCAGTGGGGCGGGGGGATTGGCTCTGCCACCCGTGTGGTAAGGGCAGAACCAGAAGCCTGGTCTCTCCCAGCTGAAATGTATGTAAGGGAATCAGACCTAACCACGAGAGAATGAGCGAGTACGTGGAAAGATGCTGAGTGCTACGGGCAAAAGGAAAAGTTGAAAAGATGAAGGAGGACCAGAAATGCCAGGATGCTGACAAGGTACAGAAGGTGAGGCGCAATTTTAAATAGAAGAGTCAGAAGAGGCCTCAGTAACAAGGTGACATTGAGCACAACTTGAAGGGGATAAGAGGTGAGCCATGTAAACATCAAGGGAAGAGGGTACTGGAGCCAATGGGAGGGCTTGAAAATGAGGTGTGATGTGCAGAATACATTTCAAAAGGATCACCCCGGCTGCTGTGTTAAGAATAAACCATGGGAGATAAGAGTAGATGTGGGGAGACCATTAGGAGGTTATTGCAGTGACCCAGGCAAGAATGATGCACTAAAAATGATTAATAACCAAAGCTACAGTGTTCCAGGAAAATGCTTGTAGATTGTAAGTCATCCATATAAAACTATGAAGAGTAGATATTAAGAACCCCTCATTCTATTTTTCAGGTGAGAAAATAGAATTCAGAGAAATGTAGACCTTCCCCAATGTCACACGTTTAGTTCATGGCAGAGCCAAGTTTCAAATCCTAGCTCTAATTATTGGGCACCTACTGTATACAGCAGACTATAAGACATGGAGGAGTCCTTGCTCTCAGGAGATACAGGCTGGTAGCAGATGAGAAGGGAGGGGCCACGTGTGCCAAAAGACAAATGACTAGAGGGAAGAAGGGCATCTATGCTTCTGTGCCTGAAGCATGTGCTCTTCCTGCAGAAATTTCCCTGGATGCCCCCAGCAAATATACTCCTCGGGGAGGAACCCATTAGGTCTTGGGGGTAATTTTTTAAAGGTATGGAGAAAGATATGAAAAGTCAGAAGAAAATAAAAATTAGAAATGGGAAAACACACCAGGCAGACTCCAGAGGATAGAGGAAAAGATGGAAAGGAAGATCAGGGTTCTGATTCCAGCTTGCTTCTCTGTTTCTCTACTTGAAACATTTTCCTCTCTCCTCCCCTTTTTCCTTTCACCTGTCTTAATCAAAGAGGGGCTCATACGTCGTTGCCCCTTCTCTCTTGCCAATAAGTAAAGGTGGTGAAAAGCTGACAAGCTGTGCAGATCCCTGGCCTTGCCTCTGCTAGAGCCTGCATTGTGCTAAGACCGAAGCTGCAGTTCCAGGCTCCTTTCTCAGCTGGCTTTGGGCCCCAGTTGGCCAAAGAGTGTCTTGGATGAGAAATGGGAATGCTAGAGGAAGGGAAGAGCTGGGGTGTTTACCCTTTCTTTCTTCACTGCAGCCTTTCCAGCCCTGCTGGAGACCTGGCCTCTGGCCTTGAGCAGCATGGCCTCATCCCCCTGCTATCCAGTTTGGGATGGTACTGGCTTTCCTTCTTGTGCGAATCTCTGGGTTGCTTTGTTCTATTTGTTATTTATTCAGCTTCTCCAATCTTCCTTCTCCATTGTAGCTAATTCCCTGGATTAAATTCCTCCTGTTTTAAGTACTGAAAGTAACTTCTGTTTCTCTTGAATGACACCCAGGCATACTTTCAAACGACAGCCAGCCATGCAATCCCAAATGTGCTACCTTAAAAACAGTGCAAGACCGGATTCAGATTTTGAAGTACCTGCCTTAAGGATGAATTCCACTGCATATTGATAATGTAATAGTAAAACTTCCCTTTGAATAGAAGTCAAAATGTTTACAGTCAGAAAGGATTAACATTAGGATTAACATTACAAAGAAAACAGTCTTCTGTTCCAAGGAAAAATGTATCTCTGTGATGTGGTGGTTTTATCTGATACCTCCGTTAGCATAATACAGTAGAGGGGAGTATATTTACACTAACAACAGATCCTTTTCCTGCATTTCTGCCCCTTGTTACTTTTACAAACTAAGCGTCATTTTACCAGCAGGAAGACACAGTACATAAAACTTTGCAGCCGCAGGATATGTTCCCTAATATTTGGCTAATCTTTGGGTGATCTCAGGAGAAGGTAGTGGAAGAATTTTAATAGCTAGCAGGGGGTATATGAACTTCTCTTTTTATTACCTGGGTCAGCTAACACTTTGCAAGATGTCATGGCACAAGAATCTAAATATTACATCCAGAATCTCTTCACTGCTCTATTCAGACCCAATCTGTGTCTGGTTCCTAAGTGCTAAGCTTGAATAGATATGCTCTTAATAATTAATCCTTTCCTTAAAGGGCTTTGATTTTTCAGATTCAGATTCCGCTGAGTATATATTTGGCATCTCTAAGCCAGTTGTGCCAAAACAGAATTGTAATGTTGGAGGTGTACTCGATTCCAGGCCCCGTGAGATTCAAATGGAAGAGGCTCAGATGTGCTGTCTTAACCCTTGAAGAGAAGCTTGGCAGCAGTCATCTCCCCGAAAGAGGCACATTTATCCTGAATTAAAACACCCCTGCCTGCTGGTCCCCATGTGTGCTGTCCTGTGCCTCTGTGCTTTTGCTTGTGCTGTTGCCTTCCTCACTTTACCCCATTACTCCGTATGTGCTCTTTTCTAAGATGCATCCATTGCCTCCTCCAGGAAGCCCTCCTTGATTTTACACACACACACACACACACACACACACACACACACACACACACACACCCTGCCCCAGGCTGGCTCAGGCCGCCCCCCAGCTTTCTTCTGCACATAATTCCAAGGTGATCTCTTTGTGGGTCTGCAGCTACCTGCAGACTCCAAACTCCTGCAGAGCATGAACTGTCTCTGGATGTAAGCATGCAGCCTCAACAGCTGCTCAGTTCCTATTCCTCGAACACAGCTGAACTGAGCTGAGCAGAGCGGGTGATCGTTTACGAAGTCTAGATCATGCCTCTGGCAAAACTGCAAAAGGCAGCAGTTCCTCCAGCGCGGTGCTCCATGACCATTTCAGGACACAGTGGAACATTCATCTCTTTTCTGTAAAATTGCCTGTGTGCCGACGCTGCTTGCATTCTTCTTTTTCGTTTTGGCTTTCTTCCTGAGAGAATTACACAACCGCCTGTCCTCCTCCCTGTACTGTACCTCCAGCTCTGAAACCCTATGAATAAAGAAAGACAGCCAGGACTCCAGTATCCTGTTACAAATTCAATACACGCATACCTTTCCCGTGAGCCCTGCAGACTTGCATTTTCTCGAGAACGGCAAAGCCAAACAGGCCTTTCCTCTTCCCAACTGAAAAAGACAGGTCTCAGAAACCTGAAAGGGCTTTATGAGGTCGGTCAGGCTTGCCCTGTCCTTAATGGAAACGTAATGGATAACATGCAGCCAGGTCTGGGCTCGGAAAGGCTCCACCATTCGCTCCCTGTTGGTGACCCAGGCCATTTGCTTCCTGCGACCCCAGGCCAGCTATTAAACTTCATTGCAGCTCAGCCTCTTCATTTCTAAAATAAGGTCCTTACCATCTATTGCACAGTGCTTGGGGAGGATTAATAAGATAATGTTACACAGAGTCTGGCACCGAATGTTCAAAAAGGGGTAGAAATAATAATAATAATAAATATAAAATTTCTCTTCCAAGCTGTTATAGGTCAAATTATATCTACCCCCCCCCCCACAGCCCCAGTCATATGTTGAAGGCCTAAACCCAGAATGTGACCTTATTTGGAGGGCCTTTACAGAGGTAATCAAATTAAATGAGGTCACTAAAGTGGGCCCTAATCCAGTATAAGTGGAGTCCTTATAAAGAGGGGAAATTTGGACACAGTCATGGACACAAGGAGAACTCCATGTAAAGATGAAGGAGGAGACTGGGGTGATGCTTCTTAAGCCAATGATGCCAAAGAGGCCAGAGCAAACCACCAGAAGCCAGGAGGGAGCATGGAACAGATTCTCCCTCAGGGCCTCAGAAGGAACCAACCCTGCTGACACCTTGATCTTGGACTTTCCGCCTCTAGAACCATGGGGTGATGAATTTCCATTGTTCAAGCAGCCAGTCTGTGGTAGTTTACCTGTGCCGAAACTGAGAACAAAGAGGTTAGACCACTGCCTGGAACGATAGCACAGCGGGGGAGGCAGAGCCAGGACGATGTTGCAGTCCTGTGCAGTGTCTTTCTGGAATGAAAGGGCTCGTTTCTGTCCCCGGGAAAGGTGTTGGTTGCCACAGTCTCTATCCACACCCCTCACATGCACCTCCTCCAGCCCACCCTCCCGAGGCCTCTCCTCTGCACGCTCAGGACACG